AACTGAAGAACTGGCTTTTTTGAAGCCTTACCTGGAGATGCCTCTCAATAAAAGGTCCTTTCGCAACGGTGTTGGATCAGGAATTAAAAAAACTTCCTTTCGAAGAGCAAAGTCGTAAACAAATGTTCAAAACCACGCTCTCGATTTTAGCAGCTGATGTTTAACGCTGTGCTTAAGATCATTTTAATGCTTTCCTATGATAAACCCAACAGAGACAAATGTAGCCGTGTCTCCAGCATGTAAACAGCTGCTTGTTTCAAAGAGCACAAGCCAAGTGGAGCAGATGGGATTGCTCAGAAAGGGCTTTGTTTCCCAAGTTACAGTAGCATAAATTTTTGTGTTGAAATGAATGTTTTCATTTGGTTAATTCCCCTTCTTTGTAAAGCTGCAGATTTAATCAGCTTGCTCTTGATTAATACAAAAATGGTCCTGTGCTGTGAAAAGACGTGTGCGTGCAGCCTGTCGGGAGGACTGCCGGTGTTATTCCTGACATCCCTCCTCTCGGCCATAGCGGCAACCCCACCGGCCAGGCAAGGCATGCCTGGACTCTCCTGTCCCAAACCACCTTAACTCAAAGACAACTGTTCTGGCCACATTAATACAGATTTAAAATAAGTTTTAGTTCAGCTTTCAGAAAGATATGAAGGGTCACTGGTGAAAGACAGAATCAGGCCCTACTTGTAACTTCTAGTTTCTTTTTAATATAGTTATTTAAAATTACTTTAGCAGGAAATAATCTCTTGAGATGTGTCATCTCATTTCCAGAAGAGTCCTGGGAAATCACTCTAAGGCAGAGGATCATTGCAGCTCCCTTTGCCTCGGTTAATTGACTTACGCAGGCAACACACATCTGATGAAACGTGCCGAACGCAGTTCCTGCTCCTCTGCTACAGTTGTGGCGCAGTAATTAACAATGGGTTTGCTTTTTTTTAAAATTTCCTGTAAAAAAAAAAATCATTTGGCCTGAAAATATGTAAATGTGGTGTGTAGGAAAGGTCATCTGCTGAGCTACGTGTGTGTGAATTTTACCTTGTGGCTGTTTCCTCCAGAAAGCTTGAACATGTTGCAAAGTGTCCATGCAATGCATTTTGACTTCAAAGCTAAGATAATAATAAATCAGTATGTGGATGCTTTCTAATATTTCTCTATTAAATATCATAACCCAGGAGCTCACTATTAAACCTAGGATAAGGCTGGTTGGCATCATCCCCTCCACAATGGCCGTTCCTGTGCCGTGCACCCCAGAGCCCACGCAGAAAAGTGACTCGAGCACGGAGCTGTGCTAGTGCAGTACTGGGTTTCTGGACTGCAGCTGGCTAATTTCTGGCTGATTCGAGGAGATCAGACGCACTCCTGTCTGCGTTTGTCCACGCTGAAATGTTTAAAGCATCGTATTTTTTAAAGCTGCTTAAACACTTACCCTCCTTTTGGCTACTGTTGGTGTCTAGGTTGCTTAGCTCTTGCAGCTCTTAGTCAAGTGACACCTAGAGACCTTTAAAAATGTAGAAGGAAAATGTCAGGCAATTACTATTCTCATGCACTCTGACTCACGCGATGTCTGGGTGGGAGGAAGCCCAGGCCAGCAAACGTGGTGGCACGGAGGAGTTTCGCTGCAGTTCGCCCGGTTTCATTCTCGGCGGCTTTGGTTTCAGCCATTGCAGACATCCTGCAAATGCAATTTTCCAACTCTCCAGCTCTGTCCAGAACTGCCCAAGAAGCAGCGTTTTCATGCCTTTGGCCGTGTAAAGCTGAAGGGCTAGGAGTGACTCCTGGCCTGGGACTGCTGAGCCTGCAGGTAAGTGCTGCCAGGAGGTGCTGACCTGCTCAACACAGGTCCTGCGTGCAGGGTCCCAACGGTACTTCAGGAAAAAAAGTAACATGGATTTAATCATGCCCTCGTGCAGGTGTAATGTGTGTGTCCTGCATCTGTGCACATCTGTGTTCGGTGAGGTGGAAGTGTTTTGTCGCAGTGCAGCTACCTGGAGTGGCTCTGGCCCGCTCCTCACAGCTCGCATCACCACCCAACTTGTTTTTCAGGGAAGAAAAAAACCGAAACAAGTCCAGATTTATCTTTATCTTGGGCTTTCACATCCATGTTAGTTAACTTTTTTCCACATAATCAAATAGATTTCTGCCTTGGTAACCTATGACAAACCAGGCTGGCTGTAAGCCAACAGAGCCATACGTGTAGCTTGGAAAATCAGCCTCTTCATTTATAGGAGAGACTCGTTCAGTGATTCGGCAGTTGCCTCTGAGTAGGGTACATTCAGGAGGGATGGCGAGCCGGTATCCTGCTTGCACAGACCTTCATCCCCGTTTTTTGAAAGAAAAACAGCTTCTTGGCTACAGGGAAAAGCTCGTTATTTATGATTTACTCATTCCCTGACAAGCTCCTCCACCTTGAGGGATCTGCATATACAAAGAAGATGGTACGAGGAGGCCACCAAGAGCCATAAGTCTTGCACTCACCTAAATCACGCCCAGCAAGCCTGGAAAACATAGATTATCCAGCTGACTTACAGGAGTGGTTCTGCTGCCGGTGCTCAGCTCTCACCATCACCACCCACTGAAAACTCGCAGCACTTACGCTGCCTGCGACATGAAACGCTAAACTCTTTTCTGAGCTTTAAAGGTGGCTTTATTTTGGAAAGAACAGAGAGTAACCTTAGTGATCTCTGTCAGAAAATAAGGATCTAAGGGGGCCATTGCTGAGCACATTAATTTTTATGCTGACAGCAGCTGGAAGTGTGACATTAGATGTCTTTTTTCAATACAAAGAGGACAATAGGAATGCTAGCCTGCAGCATAATTAATGCGCTGCAATCAATTATATTCCTTTCTGGAGAACAAGGATCCATTACGCTGTGAAAAGATATTTTGTTAACTTTCCTTACTGTTTTCCTTGGCTAACCTAAGAGAAAGAGGAAGGATAAACAAGTTTAGAGGGTGGGAAGAGTAATGCTCTGTCTAGGGATTGAGGAGCAAGTTGGGAAGTCGGGAATGCCTTGACTGGTCTCGGCCTTGGATAGTAATTCAGTCTGTGACCTTAGACAAGTCACTTAATTTCTACTCAATTTCTTAATCTGCAGAATAAGAAGCTGTGTTCATCAAGCCATCTGGCACAAGCAGTGTCATGGCTGATGGATGTGGGACCTGTTTTGGAGGTGTTGAAGCAGGGAAGGGTGAGCTCTGCTGCCCGGTCAGCGGGGCTCCCAACGTTGCCTTCAGCACGGGACTGAGCACCCTAATGCCCGTGTACATTTTATAACCCCCAGGGAGCCCTGTGGCTTTTGCAGCCAAGACAATTCCCAGGTTTACGAGCTGTTTTCATTCACGTTGTCCACTACTCCAGCTACCTCCAATCAGGTGAGATGCTCATTGCCTGACAGGGCTGAGTGAGAGGCATCCTCTATACCTGCACTTTCACAGTGCAGCTGCTATAGTTTATTCAATCTAGAGCTAGTAATGCTATGTATTTGCTTCTTTTTTGATCATGCATCCTTTTGTAAAACACATTAAAATGCATTTAAAGGACATGAAGAATCCCTGAATCCATAGGGCCTTTTTTACCCTACTTTGCTCTAGCTTGTACCTACCTTTGGGGGCTTTGGACATAACCTGCTGGAGAGCAGCTCTGTGGAGAGGGACCTGGGTGTCCCGGTGGACAAGTTGACCGTGAGCCAGCAGTGTGCCCTGGCTGCCAAGAAGGCTAATGGGATCCTGGGGTGCATGAAGAGGAGTGGGGCTAGCAGTTTGAGGGAGGTTCTCCTTCCCCTCTACTCTGCCCTAGTGAGGCCCCATCTGGAGTACTGTGTCCAGTTCTGGGCTCCCCACTTCAAGAAAGATGAGGAGCTACTGGA